TAAGGTTCAGGGCTTAGGGTTTAGTTTTAAGGTTTAAGGTTAAGGGCTTAGGGTTCCTACCCCCAAATACTCCCTATATACCCTTCGTACCACCTCATGTACAAGCCCTACCCAGTATATGCCCCACGGTTCTGCGCTCACTTAAACCCCCAAACCCTAAACCCAAAGCCCTAAACCTGAGCCCTGAACCCCAAGCCCGACACCCGAAGCTATTGCTCAGGCAGCAATGGCATCTCAGGGCGCTGCAGGAATTCCTCAGCATCCGATTTGTAGGCCTGCATAGTTTAGCGTTTAGGGTTTAGGGTTTAGGGATTGATGATGATTGATGTGTTCGGGTTTAGGGTTTCGGGTTTGGTGGGGCTGTTTGGAGTTTAGGCTTCAGTGTACGGAGTAGCCCCTCGAAGCTCTTGTTTCATGACAAGGGACCAAAGACACCTGCAATCCCTCTGTCTGTCCGATTGTCCCTCCAAATCAAGGATGTGATGCCTTACAGACGCCATAATATACTATAATCTACTATAATATCCTACAATATAGTATAATACCCTATGATATGATATACTGAAATATACTATGATATACTATAGTATACCATGTTATACCATAATATCCTATAATCTCTCCTTCAATATCCTACAACACACTAGCATATCCTAGAATATACTGAGCGCAATATGCTATAATACTATTATTGCTATTGTTAAAAATCATCACTATTTTTGCGATTGTTACTACTATTACTAAAGCTCCGATTATGACTAATATCACTATTATTACGATCATTGCTATTACCCTAAACCCTAAACCCTAAATCCTAAACCCTAAACCCTAAACCCTATGATTCTTGTACTTCAATTTCACGGCAGCCCTGATGTGCCTCCGAGGATGAAAGAAAGCGAGCTTTGTCCCCGACCTGCCCGGCGTTTTGGGGCTTCGAGTTTGGGGTATGGGCTTTAGGGTTTGGGGGCTTTAGGGTTTGGGGGCTTTAGGGTTTAGGGTTTGGGCTTTAGGGCTTGGGGGCTTTGGGGTTTGGGGTACAGGGTTTAGGGTTTAGGGTTTGGGCTTTAGGGTTTGGGGGCTTTAGGGTTTGGGGTACAGGGTTTAGGGTTTAGGGTTTGGGCTTTAGGGTTTGGGATTTAGGGTTTGGGGTATAGGTTAGGAGGACCCCCCAACCCTGTAATAGTGACTATAAGGGATAATAAGGATTACATTAGTGTCCTATTATATCCCTATTATACCGCTATTACAGGGAGGGGGGTCCTCCTAAGGTATAGGCTTTAGGGTTTGGGGTTTAGGGTTAAGGGCTTGTAGTTCAGGGCTTATACAGGGCTTAGGGTTTGGCGTCTGTGTGGGGTTGAGGACAAGCTGGGGCTTCAGGGTTAAGCTTTTAGGGTTCCGCGGGGGAAAGGTCAAGTTTAAGGTTGCTTCGCGATTTCGGCTGCTAGGTTTAGGGTTTAGAGTGTAAGTTTGGGGTTCAGAAATCCTAGTAGTAGATGTGGGGTTCTTGATTTGACCGGTGTCTTTTTGAAAAGGCGGCATGGCAATACCATTCGCAGAGACCACAAACCACAAATCCCAAGCGCTCTTCTATCAACCGGATCTCTGCCAATCTGAGTATAGAACTCCATGCTTGACTGGCTTTTTTGTGGCAATTCGGCATGAGTTTTGGGGAGGGGAGCGCGGGGGGTTCTTCAGGAAATGTTCATATATCATATCTCAAATAGTGGCTTCTGCAACCGCAGTTGAGTGGTTTCGAGGATCTTTTCGGTGGATGGGCTTTTCAGGGACAACGCTGCGGTGCCCACACAACAAAGAGCTGACTAGCGAGTTAAAACTCCCCTCATCACAAGGTAACCTGTGCAAATACCCCAGAACTTCCGCGCCTTCTGCTGGATATCTTTCAGGAGGCTCTTGAGGTCAGGTATCTGGTTTCCTCCTGACAGTTCGATATTATGTGGCTTGTGCTGCTTCATGCGCCAGGGCCTTTGGATGCCGAGTCCTGCAGTCCTTTACCTTCATCATGTTACAGGTTCTTAGTAGGGTCTAGGGTTTAGGGTTCAGGGTTTAGGGTTTAGGGTTTGCAATCCCTATATCATCCCTATATAATGTATTCCGACACTCCCTACTATGCCCCAGTAAGTCCCAGTAAGTCATTTTGATTGTGTCTCTAGATCTACTCTTTCGGATCTTCAGCTTGCTTTGCACCTGGCTATTGCAGCTCTGGTAGGGTATACCTTTCTGAGGGGTTGGTGGGGAGTATGGGGATACATTATACAGGGATTACACAGGGATTATATTCCCTTGTTCCCAACTAAGAAGAAAGATACTGGCTAGCAGGAGTTCTGGACTCCCCGTATAGGCCCCTAATTGTCAATCCCAGTTCTGCCCTCTCATTATGTACTGTTCAGGGCCAATATTTCAGGCCCAGGGCAGGATTCTCAAACAAAAGGGTTGTCTCCAAAAAATAACCTCCCCCTAATACTAAAGTGCCACCCCCTTATGTATATACTCCATGGCTCAGCCCGGAAAATCTCTCAATCCCTCAAGAAATGGCCCAAACCCTAGCCTCAAAATGCCTCCACTCTGACCTCACCTCAAACTCAAAAAAAAAAACCTTAGACGAAGCCTCCATGCATGCACGTAGTTCCTGACAGGTGAGGGGGCCGCCGTGAAAACCACACAAAGGGCCATCCCAGAGCGGGGGGTTTAGTAATTTCGGGATTCAGTGTTAAACCCCTAAACCCCCAACCCTGAACCCTAAACCCTAAACCTTAAGCCCTAAACACCCTAAACCCTAAGCCCTAAACTCCCTAAACCCCAGGCCCTCAAGACCCTAAACCCTAAGTCCTAAACACCCTAAACCATACGCCCTATACGCCCTAAAACCCCTA